GGAGAATCCTGAAAGAAATTAATTCGCGTCTACCTTTTAGTTGCGTTGCTGGTGAAAAGCCTTGTGACTAACTTAAACTTTTAGCTAATTAGAGGTACAACGCATAGAGATTTTCAAAAAATTCAATCCAATCAGAACTTTGTAAATCTTGGCGCTTTTCCTTCGAAAGTGTCTATAAGAAGGAAAAACTTTCTCTTAACATAGTTGTTGTTGTTCTTTTCCCCAAGGAACCAGAGTACAGACCGGCTTTCGCGTCAGTCTACAGAAGTATTGTAGAGTTTACTGGTGAAGATTACGACGAAACTGTCGAATAATAACGAATGAAAGAATGGCTCAAAGACTATTTTAAATGGAAAAATTAAATCAATTTATATGCAAATTCAAGAGAGATATAAATTTTGTAGTGAAACGTCATTGTAATCATATTGGTTTTGATGTTTTTTGAATGAGAATGATTTGTTGTAGATAGAAAATTTCAGCAACATGAGATAATTGATGAGACTTATAATAGCAGGTTAAAATCGTGTTGGTGAATTGTTGTGTACTGTACTGAATGTTGTGTAGACGAATTTTCCCAACACGCAGGTCACAGTTCAAAGCGATTAAAGTTGCATGTAATAAGCAGACAGGAGTGTTTTGTCAACTATTTTAGATTTGATAAGACACGGACTGTAAGTTTATTGAACGGCTTTAAAACCTTTGGTATTTTTCTGTCAATTCTCCGAAGCTAACCTTCGCTTTAAGGTTGGTGTTTTGTAAGGACAATTAGAAGTGATGATGTAAGGCAGTCAGTTAAGATAAATTCATTTTTGTTTCACCTTATGTTTTTGAAGATGGGTTTATTTTAAAGTTTTTAACACTCAGTTGCTGTAAATAAACTAGCATAGTGTATTGTATCAAGCTGACGCCAACAAAAGAACTCTGAAGAGAGCATTTCAAAGTACTCAACAGCGCGATATAATTAATTGGTTCTTTTGACACCAGTCTCCCTTACTAAATTGTCCGTTGGAGTCTACTAGTGTTCTGATTAGAAATGGGTTTCGGATTTCAGGCTCTTTTCTGTGTTACATTTCCTGCATTCCAGTGAAGAATAGTTTCATACATTTAGCGAGTTTCCCCAAGACTATGTTTCAAAACGAGGCTAAGTGCGAATCTTTTGATATGAAAATGTTTTTTTTTACTCTCGTTCAATTAAAACTCATTTTTACATGAACGGTTCTGCACTCAGCCCTGTTTTGAAAGTGAGAGTTGTTGGAACTCGGATATGGCCTAATCGGTTACGGGATTAAGTTTTCTTTGAGTGAAACGAGGCGCGTATCGCTAAGTCGAAAACTAGTAACCAAATGGTGTATTACCTTCAGTTATATTCAAGTTTTGATGAAAATATACGGAAAGAGTCTTACACACGTTGTCGTATAAAATAAGTAACTTAATTTCTGCTGTTTTCCATTTAAACTGTTCATTCCGTATTCTGTGGTGCATTTATTCTTTTTTCTAATAAAGCATCATTTTAAATTAGTTCCTCAGAAACGTGACTGAAAAGTTGCCATTGTTTAGTTTTTGTTATGCCGGTTGGTTTTGGTTTGAGACACTTGATACTCGCCTAGCACTGGCTGTTTATAATAAAAGTATATTTTTATGCTAGTTATCACTTTGCAAAAAATACTGTAGATAATTTGATAAACTAAATTTTACATTAGTTTGCTTATTTACGTACACAAGTTTATTATAAAAGAATGAAAGGTAACGCCAGACGTTCTACCTAGTGTTTGGACGTTACTTGAAAAAGTGCAATAAAGTATAAAGTTAAGTAAATGTACAAACCCTTTTTGCGCAGAAGATAAAGCTATTTTCATCTATGTTCTTTTGCCGAAGCTTTTTTTTTGTCCATGTAAATGATGGAGTCATTGTTTAGTGGTTCTAATTTCTGAGGCTATGGATAAAATCTCAATATAACGAAAGCTCATTATAGCCAACATACTTTTATTATATAGATACTGATGAAATACAAGGATTTTTCCTTTTACTAAAAAATCATATCTTCATCGCTCGCAGTGAAGATACTATTTTTATCTTTCACGTGTGAGGATATTGGTGTCACCATGGTTACTAACATTAATTTTGACTTTTTGGAACAGAAAATATAAATATTATTGTCTTTATTTCGCCTTTATAACTGTATATCCGAGTTTCATAACATTTTTGTCACAGGCATTTTGCTGTAGGTGACCACTTTAATCGCCTTTTGCACTATTTTGCTGTTGCGAAAATGAATTTAAAAAGTTGTGTTTTATGTAGGACTTTCATCAGTATCTATAAAATAAACAGAACATTGCATGGCCGCTTGGGGATACGAATTTTATCTTCTCGTGCTGAAAGTATTTCTTACTCGTTCGCTTCGCTCATTCGTGAGAGATACTTTCAGCACTCGAAGATAAAATTCGTATCCCCGCGCGGCCTCCTCTATTTCTATTCCATTGGCCCTTCGTTTAATATCGAGGTTCAACTGTATATCTACTTTCGCAGGCTTCATGGTATTTGGAAAACAGCCATATTTTTGCATTAGTCATTGGTTTTGCAATTTTCGCAGGTGTCGCAATAGGCTAAGCTCTATTTCCGCCGTTCTCTCGGTGATTTCCGCCCTTCTCTCGGTCCTGTCCGACGTAACTTTGTTAACCAATCATAAGTTAAAGTAAGACCATGTCGTGACTGTTATGCGCGCGTGTTCCCGCGTTTATGAATTTTTTGTTGCTTTTCCTGTCTTTTTTCCGACCAGCGGCTGGTTATCGAGTCTATTTGGCAGTGGAATTTACGTTCCTAAGCTGATGTTGTACGAGGAAGGGAAAGAGAGGAGCGGCCATTGGGATCTGAATACTTCCGAAAGGATGTTTATATCTTTTAAAAAGAAAGAAGAATCTGAGCAAACGAAAAATTGCTTTGTTTAGAGTTATTCTTTACTTAGGTTCCATGAAAATGTTTCTGTTAAGAAGATAACATCGTTTAGGGCGTTTTAACTTGTGTGTACTTCATGTTCTTCCCGGCCTGAGTGCTTTGAATTGGGCGTCCTGTGCGTGGGCGGAAAGAAGCCGTATATTTTACTGGAATTTACATGACGTATGACTTGCTCGTGGGCGCTTTGAACAAGGCTGGGCTTCCCAACTTGAGTTCTCAATCACTTGCATATTTTTCCGGATGCCTCAAGTACAATTATTTATGATCATTTAATGCTAGGTGTGCCATCTGCAGGTAAGAACAATGTTTATGCTTCTATTTTCTTTTAAGGTGACTTTCGATCCTTTTTTGGTAGCCCTTAGACTCTTGGCGGTTTATATAGTTTGTTCAGACTTTCACGGTTTAGTAATGTTTCATTCACAGTCTTATTTGTCCCCAATGAGACGTCACATTTAAACAATTTTAGGCATGTTATTTAAATTCAATGTTTGAAAATCGAAGACTTAACAGGTAAAGAATCCCTCTGTGTTGGTTTTTATTTTTTATTAGATACCTTGAAAGAGATTAATTTAGTCGTCTTAATTTTTTACACCCGACGTAGAGGGTAAGGCGCGTGAAGATTTTTTTGCTTTGACGCTCTTCACTTGTGAAGTTTGGCCTTAATCGTCTCGAAACAAAGTGAATGTAAAGCACTTTTAATACCAGCTTTTATATGATCAGTATCTGATGAAGCGCTGTACATTTTATTTATGTACAACTGTAGTAAGCTTAATTATTTACTTCTGTAAATGAAATGAACAGTGTGAATTGTTGTAAACTAAACTAGAGGTTTATAGCTGAACAATCCACACCGCGTGAAATCTCTTTTTCACCTGTTTTAAAGACTGAGCCTTTCGCTTACATATTTACACATTGCTTTAACAGAATTATATTCAGCAAAACAACTTTGATTTGCGAAACGTAATAGTTTTTCTCTCAACAATGTGCCTTTTAGCGGTTAAAATTTCACTGTCTCTTTATTTTCCTGCGTTGTCTACATACGTCCTTTACTTCAGTAAACACGCGATGACAGCGTGCTGCTGCCTAATTTGTATACACATTATTTGTCAAAAATAACGATCCTCTTTCATATTATGTTATGACTCTAATTTTTTTGGCAATTGGTCGTTAAAAATTTCAGTTGCTTCTTACTTAATTACTTACACATACAACTTTTAGTTCAGTACATAATTAGTGTAATTTTGTCTTGATGCCAAAATAAGATGGACAGTGCAAAGAAATTGTATTGAAAAAGCTGTCTCTCATATTATTTTGCTGTAAAGTTTCATATTTTTCCATCTGGAGAGAGAGGTAAACAGACTATAACAAGAAAAATGGGCCATTGTGTATGCATCTATGTACAATGTGCTCTCAGCTTAAATAAGAATTTTCTCTGTCCTATTAATTATTAGGTGTAGGAAACAAAGAAAATTCTGAAGCAAGCAGGGTTGAATTCTAAGAGTGGATTTTACAAGCTTCCAGCTACAAGTCACTGTGTTGGATAGTGTTTTCAAACAGTTTATTCTGGGATAAGATATGGGGTATCATTAAGGTAAAACTGATACATTTTGTTCATAATTAGTGTGGGGTAGGGTAGGGTTTTTCTGTGGTAATTAGTCAAGGTATTGGGTAAGGATTTCAGGGTCCCAGCATCACATCTCAAGACAAATTAATATTCATAAGGTACACACCCATAGTTAGTGTTGTTGCTGGTCCCACTGGTCAGTTTGGCTCAAGC